TTTTGGGGTATGTGTGGGAGCATAAAGGAGTTTGGTTTGGCTGGAACACCATTGCTATGTAGAGATCTAGTGGGAAATGACCTGGAGTGTAGACAAAGATAGGGTTGTGGACACTAAAGGTCTACAGAAGAGACTGTGCTTTACATTCATGGTGGGCTCTTGGAGGATGTGCTCAGTGCTGTCACTTAGGATGACTTGTGGCAGTGACTATAAGGATGGGTTGAGGTTAGACCAGGAAGACTGAAAAGCAGTTGGCTGTTGTGGAAAATGCACTAAGAATCTGGAGGTCCGGGTTGGAGTGATGTCTCTATTCACTGCTAGCTATGACTTTGGAGCTTCACTGCCCTCATATAAACAGGGAAGGCGGGAATCCTATTCTAAGATTGAAATGAATCAGTCCATGCTAGAAAACGGCAGACTGTACAGAGTTCTAGGGCCTCCATAGACCATAGTATGGGCCCCTGTTGTGACTGAAGGGTGAGAAAAAAGCCTTAGATATTTCATCTCTTTCATTCAGCTATGTAAAAAAATGCCAAAATGCAAAGGAACTAATGCAGAAACTTTAAAGCAACAGAGTCCAGTAGGAGAAGGTGACCAGGAACGAGAGAAAAGGTTAGCTCAAGAAGAATTAATTTAGAATGTAACACATACGTACAGGAAAGCAATGCAAGTAAACTCCCTGTATAGCTATCCTTATCTATAACCCTTGGTCCTTCCTATTGTTGCTTATACTCTCTCTTCAACAAAATTAAAGATAAGTGCAAAATAGTTTCTGCCTGATAGTGAGGGGGTGGGAGGGAGAGAAAAGGGGCTGGGGGAAAGGGAGAGGGCAGGGGGAAAGGGGGAGAAATGACCCAAACATTGTATGCACATATGAATAAAAGAAAAAAAAGCCTCACATTTAAGCCAGTATAGCAGGCATATTGTGGTAGGTGTATGCATGCTTTAGGTATAGTGAATTTCAGAGTGAGCAAAGATTCTGGAGTCAGATTGCTCATATTTGAATCTTGGATTCTTATTAGCTATGTGAATTTAGTAAAACTACCTTAATTTTCTGTGCCATGTTTTCATGATACCACAGAGAATTGTTCTGAAGATTAAATTAGTTAATATATGGAAAACCTTAGAATGGTACCTGGCATGTAATAAGTCCTCAATATTATTATCACCTTGTCTCTCTTTTCCAACTAGCAGAGAATGATCTACCTTTGTGTGTGTGTCTGTGTTTGTGTCTGATCTACCTTTTCAGTTGGTGAGCTGCCTGCAAGCTTACAGCAGTCTTCAGTACATCCCTCTCTCCCTGTAGTTCCAACTATGAGCCAGGCTACTCACACTAGGATTGTGAATGAACTCAACCCTCTTTCAAAGCTCCGTGTATGCTTTGCCCCATTTACCTCTTCTTAAGTGCCTTCACCACTTCCTAATACAGTGTGGGTTGAGGTTTTTTTTTTTTGTCAGTTCTCTGATAAACATATGCAATGTGTCTCTTGCCTTTGGCCTGGTCAGTGGAGAGAGTTAGGAGACTTTCTCTTTCATATTCAATGCTATATGCTAATGCAAGTCAAACTTACACTGACTGTTACTTTTCTATGTTATACTGTGAAATCATAGTGCTTTTGTTTTAACGAAAGTCCCCCTAATTCAACCCCACATTTACTTGTGTTGTAAAAGTTACTTTTTTCACTATTGAGTGTATTGGCTGCTTAACATATTTCCCAATGCCAGTTTTGTAATTGACACTCAATATTGTCATCAAAGAGTTTATAGTTTCCTGGGATGTCATGTATGCAATTTGACCTGTAATAAAGTGTGATAGTGATAATTGTTGTAATAGAGAGGTGCAAACAGTGTAGGATAACACAAGGAAGGACCTAATTCTCATAGTGGGGAGACACGATGAGAGTGTAACAATGAGGATAGAAGAGGCAGAGAGATGTCAAGGAGATGCTCGTGGAAGACAGAGTATTTGTCATAACTGTAAGTAAGATCCTAGCTGCCAATGAAGTGGAGGGAAGAATGCAGTAAGCAGAGGGAATGACTTGTATTGGAGCACGAAACAGCATGGACTTTATGTGAACAGCATGTAGCTGACCATGGTCTCAGCATGGTAAGCACACAGAGGAATTGGTGGGAGAGATGCTGACCAGTAGGCAGGTGCAAGGTCCTGGTGGGCTTTTCATGTCATAGTAGGGAATTCATATTTAATTCTATTAGTAATAGGCTAGGTTGAAGAGATTTTATATCAGAGAGGGACATGATTAGATAGAGGTACATTTTATAAGTACTAAACTAGTAGCCTGAATAGTATGATCTGTGAATTAGAGGAAGTGAAAATAGAGATAAGGTGGCCAATGGAGAGGAGGTTTCCATCACACAAGTGAGAAAAAACATGAAATCCTGACCAAGGCATGGGCACAGGGACAGAAAATAAGGGACATTTTTTGAGAGATTTATTAAATAGATATATTTTGAGCTCTTGAACACTTTGAGCAATGAGACCCTCAGAACTGAAAGCCAGATGGATTTGTCAGGACAGGAGAGAAGTTGAGACGCAGCCCCAGGTCTGAGGGATTGGGTGAATAATGATGTCACTCGTAAGATAGGAGTTGGGAGAAGTGAAGGATTCCTTCAAACAGCTATTAACCTCTTGGATACCTGTGGTTCATCCAAATGGAAATATGTAGCAGGCATTTGGCATTTGGATAAGAAACTCAGGAGAAAAAAGTTTTATGTGCTGAGAAGTAGACCTATGACTCATCTATAAATAGAAGACAATTGAAACCTAAATATGAAGTAAATCAACCAGAAGAAGGCTGAACCTGGTGGGCAGGACCTGGTGGTGGTCCTAGAAAGCAATCATGATAAGAGGGGTAGCCCATAAAGAAGACTGCAGAAGGGTAACCTTAGAAAATGAATTTGAAAGAGTTTTCAGTTGGAGAAGTGATGAAAATCCAAGAGAAAAGGTTGACATAGGATCTACAGAAGAGTTTATAATACTCACAAATTATTTTGTAATATTTAAGTAGTGGTAGACCAGCTACAGGAAATATGCTTTTGAATAAGTGACCTATAGAGTAGGGGCCCTTCAGGGTGGGCCACCTCCTTTTGGAGAAATCTGCCTGCCAGGAATCAGGGGAATGTGTCCTCTTATCTTTGGGCCTAATTCTAGTAGACTCTGATTCTTCACATTCTACTTGTGGGTTGTGGCTGCTTTTTAGTTAAAATGGGGATAAAGATTTCTTCGCTGTTTTCCCTTCCCTTTGTTTTTATACAGAAGAATTCAAGTAGAAATGATTGTTCTATGCAGTATTTAAATGGAAGTCTCACAGTTCCTTTGAAAATTTGAGGTACACAGTAAACAGTATCTATAGAGATGCTGTTTTTATTTTTAAATTGAACTCTGAGTTTTTTATGCATTTCAGTTATGGGTTTCTTTAAAGCAGAAGCAAGATACATTTATTTTAATGTACCCAGGGCCTAGCCCAGAGCCCAACCTACAGAAGTATTCAACAAACACTTGTTTTGTCTTTCTTGATCACAATTGTACAAGCCCATTTTTGAAAGCTTCTAAGCTATCTCGAAACATCTTAGCTTTCATCATTTCATATCACTCAATTATGCCAATTTGTCTTCTCAATTTTATTATTATACTTCTTTTAATTGATTAAAGTTCAAAATCTTCCCTTACCCCCAAGTGTTCAAGTGAAATGAGAAGTTGTTTTAAGGCTGCTTATATGACCCAGTTATTTGACAGCTGCCACTGAAATTGAGCAAACGTAAAGAGACTGAGACTGAGACAAAACTTTCCAGTGACCCTACTACTTTTCACATTTTTGGGACCAGTTCTTTCTACCTCTCTGCATTCTGTCTCTCTTTTAAGTTTTTATTATGAAAAATTTCAAATTTGTCCTGCATTATCTAGAGTAATAAATGAAATGCATTATTAACTTTTTTCACCTTAACTGGGAAGAATTTACCCTGGCATCATTTCAGTTGTATTAGTGTCACATCCATTCCACCACCTTACCTGTCCTTCCATGTTGGTCAGAATTAACATCAGGGTAGGTTATGTTGCATCTCTTGTCCATCATCTGGGAGACAGAGTTATCAATAAGGAAGTCATGGACTTGATTTAATTTGTGGGTGATGATCAGATCTTGTTCTAACTTCCCTTCCTGCCTGTTTTGTGATCTGCATCAGGGAATATATTTATCCTGTCTGCCAGGTAGCCTACTGTATACTTCTAAAAAAGTAACTATAAGACCTTCCTTGATTTCAGAAAGCCCATGTTGTGCTTGGTATTTTAAACTTCTCAACAAAGTATGACTTTTCTTGCTGCTCTTTCCTCTTGGTGTTTTATTCTGTGACTTTTGCTAGAGGATGATAGGGATTGGGAGGCAGTGTAGCTATCCTAGATTCGGCCCTCATCATTTTTTTCAGAATTCTACAAATTTAGTGTTTATAAGGCAGTGGTAGAAGATATTTACTCCTTCTCCCCATATTTACAGAAGTATTTTTTGTTTTCTTGCTAGCGAGACTAAATTTGCTTTTTCAGAAGTATTGCTGTTTGTAGCTATTATAAAGTAAGAAATAAAAAGAAACCATTCAGTGTAGAGGAACTGTTTCATAGGATGAGGAAGTAAAAGGTCTGAATTTATTACTCCAATATCTATACTCCACATATATTGCATTGGAATGTTTTTGATCTTTGGTTATTTTATACTCCACATATGAAAATAAATTGGGTATTTCTTGGCTAATGGAAAATTGTCTTCTCTAGCAAAATTGAAAACCATCCTACTTCTGGGTGGGATGGAATTTCTGTTTTTTAAAAAAAGTTTATCATTTTGGCTTTTTTGTTTAGTTAAAGTTGGAGCTTTATTGTGTGCATGTTTTTAATATGTAAATGGGTGCTCAACTTCATGAAAGTGACCTATTGGATTGTTTCCCCAGCTTTTTCTTTTCTGAAAGTACCTTGCAATTTCTTTTCTTTTATGCAGGGAATCAGCAGTCTCTTCAGTTCTCTAAAAGTGGTGCGTCTCTTACGACTGGGCCGTGTGGCCAGGAAACTGGACCATTACCTGGAATACGGAGCAGCGGTGCTTGTACTCCTGGTGTGTGTGTTTGGGCTTGTTGCCCACTGGCTGGCCTGCATATGGTATAGCATTGGAGACTATGAGGTCATTGACGAAGTCACCAACACCATCCAAATAGACAGTTGGCTCTATCAGCTGGCCTTGAGCATTGGGACTCCATATCGATACAATACCAGTGCAGGGATATGGGAAGGAGGACCTAGCAAGGATTCCCTGTATGTGTCCTCTCTCTACTTTACCATGACAAGCCTTACAACCATAGGATTTGGAAACATAGCTCCTACCACAGATGTGGAGAAGATGTTTTCAGTGGCCATGATGATGGTTGGCTGTAAGTATCTTAGTTTTTAAAAAATTTTTAAAAAATATTTTAGTGTTTGCAACTTTTCTGGCTTCAATATCTGACAGAATTACAATATTTTATCTTCAGGAAAGTGTTTTAATCAAGACTATTTGCAGTTGGTTTAATTTTTATTCAGCTTTATTAAGTAAAAATGCAAAATAATGTGACTTGCTCTTTAAAATGTATTCACACATATAAACTGTGTGGATAGACTGATACAAATTTAAGAATGTGATTTATATTCATGAGGTTATATCTGGCAGCACCCTCTTGAAGGAACAGGACCAGCATCTAGACAGGTAGCATCTGGCACATTCTATAGGTTTAGTTGGCAATGTATTAAATTCAAACAAGCATCCAGGATCTGATGTGAGATACACGGTTTAGAAGATATTTTAGTTGATCAGTGAATTTCTGAATTAGAGTTGACCTCAATATCCAGTCTTATGTAAATTTTTACAATTAAGACTAGGAAAAAGGTCCAGTGTTTGTAACAAACACCCTCAGTTGAATATATGACTGAAAGGATGAAATGACTAGTAAATACAAGCCCATTCGGCAGTGACAAGTGTCTAAGATTTAGCATGCGTGCCTGAATATGAGGTGTCTTGATGTTGTTCTTATAAGCAGAGTGCCCTTTCAAGGGGCCAATAGTCGTGTGCTCAAATTGAGACTGACTGGTTCGCATCAGAAGACCAGAACATATCCAAGAAGTTGTTCTAAGATATCTAGATGGAAACTTCACCACCATCCATCTTCACCTTGAAATTGATTTTGACGATTTACTTAAATTTAGTTTTGATACCTATAGTAACTTTTGGATTGTTGTACTGAAGGTGGGATTAGCATTATTAGCAAGTCATAAGCCTTTAGATCATGGTCACTGGTTTTTGATCAAGCCATTTTTTTCAAGATTTCACCTTGCAGAGGTTTAGATTTTAACATTGATGGGAAAGATGGTCGAGTCCATGGACATTGACTGGCCAATAAAAAGTGAGTAGTGTGGCTCTAAGCAGGTTGCATTCATAGTTCAGAATGTCTGAAAGCTATTGGAACACCAGTGCCAGTAGCTGTTTAGCATCCATCACTTTACAGGTACAGAAACAAGAGTGCACAGGTTCTCTTTGTGGATTAGAACTTGCAGTTAGAGGAAGACTAATTTGCGTTCAAGTGCCATTTGCTCCAGAGACTTTCTTGAGGAAAAGAGTCTAATGCATACAGACATTTTGATGATTAATTAAACTGATGCCTACCTAACAAAAGATGCATTAGCAAACGCGTGCTTTATAGATTCTGAAGACATTTGTCAGAGGTCATATTTAGTACTGCACTACCTTTAATATTTATGAAATACATTTTGCCTTATGCATAGCTTGAGTTTGAAAAATCTTTTTAATCGATGTAATTATAGATTCATGGGATGTTGCACAGATAATACAGAGAAGGTCTTTGCTCTCTTCACCTTTTCCTCCATCTTCTATGACTATAGCACAATATCACAATTGTCATGAGTGCAATGTATGTGTAGAGTTCTGTGTTGTTTTCTAACAGGGGTAGATTCCTATAATTGTTCCTGGAATTAAGATACAGAACTTCTCCGTCATCACAAAGATCTCTTTATGTAATCTACCTTTTCCCTCAACCATCCCTAGTCTCTGAAACCTAATAACGTGTTCTCTGTGATCTTGTGATTTTTGGAGTGTTATCTAAGTGAATCATGTGAAATGTGGCTTTTTGAAATTGACTTCTTCCACTCAGCACGATGCCCTTGAGATCCATATAAATTGAGTCCATCAGTAGTGTGTTCCTTTTTTACTTCTAGGTAGCATGTGATGGTTTGATATTCGACTGCTTAACCCTTCATCCACTGAAGGACATTTTGTTTTTTTCCAGTTTTGGGTTATTACGAATAAAACTGCTATGAACATTCATGATTGTTTTTGTTGTTGTTCATTTATTTATTTTGGTGGTATTGAGGGTTGAACTTACTCAGGGCCTTGTGCTTGCTAGACAGGCACTCTATCACTTAAACCATACCTCTAGTACTTTTGGTTTTAGGTATTTTTCAAATAAGGTCTCACATTTAAGCCCAGGCCATCCTATATAGTTGGGATGACATGTATGCACCACCACACCCAGCTGTTATTGAAAGAGGGTCTCGTGGACCTTTTCCCCCAGACTGGCCTCAAACTGTGATCCTCCCTATCTTTGCCTTATAAGTAGCTAGGATTACAGGCATGAGCCACCATGCCTGGCATGTATAGGTTTTTGTATGGACATGTTATTAATTCTTTGAAGTAAATGTTCAGGATCACAAGTAAATATCTACTTTAAAAAGAAATTTCCAAACTATTTAGCTGATTGGGTAGCCTAGAATAGTTTTTTTCATAGAGAATCGTAGAAAACCAAAAATCTATAAAGAATTGGGGATACCCTTATTTTTTCTGTTTCTCAGGCCCCAAAGCCAGGAAATATCCTAGATGATTCTTGTGTTGTATCATCTGTAACAAGACCTCTTGGTCTTGACTTTCAAAATACATTTGATTATTTCCTTGCACTTCCATAGCTTACCACCCAAAACAAAGTCACTATCATTGCTGGCCTGGACTTTTGAAGCAAACGCTTATATTTTCCTTTTTTGGTATTCTTGCCCAATAGTCTCTCCCTAGAAGCCAGAGCAGTTCTTTTAAAGTAAATATGATCACATCATTCCTCTACTCAAATCTCTTCAATGCACATTAATGTAAAATCCAATTTACCTACTCCATCTTTCAAGGCCTTACTGATGGGGTATTCATTTGTCTTACCCTCATTGTTTTCTACACTTCCTGCTCTTACTTATTCTCCTAAACCCATGCTAGCTTTCTTGTTTTCTCTGAACACGTCGTGCTCAGTCCTATGTCTGGGTCTTTGTACTTGTTTTTCCCATTGCTTATAACACTCCTTTCCTGATTTAGACCTTGAATTCATGTATGTCTTCATTGAATCATCTTGTCAGAAATTTCCTCTAAAGCTACCCTATGATAGAAATCACTCCTTTTTCAATCATGCATATTCACCTTTTACACCTTTCTTTCACTGTACCTCCCAAGAACTGAAGTCATGTTTACTGTGTTTCTCTTCCTTCAGAGTATAAGATCCACATGAGCAGTGCATTTGATTGTCACTTTCTACTTCTATATCTTCAACATCTATATAGCTCCATCCTCAATCCTAACTTATTTTGTGAATGAATGAGGTAGAAGAGGTCCCCATTGGCTAGGATGAAGACCTCCTGCCCTTGCATCCACCCAGTTAGGTGTTTGATGAAGATATCTGCTGGGAAAATGTATACTTTCTGTTTTGGCCCTTATTTTGCTGTGAAATAGCTGTGAAGCTTGACTATATTGTCTTCCTTGGGGAGTATATTAGCTCCTTAAGCTGGATTAGCTCCTTTAGCCCAACTCTCAGTAGGTTTGTCGAGACAGGTTCCAAGAAGCTATTCAACAGAAGCACCAACAATACTTTTACACTCCACTTTTTGTCATCTATCTGAGTCCATCTCTGTTGCAAATTTTCACATAGATTCAGTTGAGTTTTCAAAATGTCCTTTGATTCAGAGTTTGTTCTACTGTTTTCCATTTCATATATGGACAATTATACTTGTTAGATCTAAATATCCTCTACTCTCTTTTCTGCAGTTCCTGTTTTGATTTCAAGTTGAAGACCTAGTTTAAATTTTGTCATGTTCCCCCCCACCCCGAGTTTCTTCTATCTTCTTTCAATTCTTGAACAATAGTTATCTGCTTATATTTCTGACATCTTTTTTCTTATTGACTTTGGTTTTCTTTTATGCTTTGGGTAAATCCAGTTTCTGTAGCCAGAGTATTCTGGGAGGATACCTTCTTAGTTCTTGGTAATTTCATGGTATGTTACCCTTGAAATAAACTGAGAAGATTATAGAAATCTGTCTAGGCTCATGAAATGTTATACTAACTTTGCACGATCCCTACATTTGTTGGACACACATGTACAAAATGTCAGCCAAGTGTGAATATTGCAGGTGCTTGTAATCTTAATATTCTTTTTCCCTGTACTAATACCAATGGAAACAAGCAAACAAAAACCACCCGTGTTCTCAGAACCCAGTATATGCTATCAGTCATTGTCAGGGATTTAGAGGTGAGCATATGTGCATGCACACTCTTGAGTGTGTGGTGGGAAAGGAGGGAAAGAAAAGAGGGAGGTAGAAAACAGAGGTTCATGGTTTCATTTGTGCTAGGAATTCAGTCAGTCTGTGCTGGCAGTCTGAGAAGCACTACTTATGACCTTATAACTCAATAACTGTGAAAAACTTTTTATCAAAAGGTTGATAGAGATACTAACTGCCTATATTCTGTTGAGAAAAATAATCACTACCTGTAAATGATAACCTCTTCTTTTTCTTGAGAAAGGTATCTTCAATTTTCATGCTTTTCAGCAAAATTTAGAAATCTCAGTGGCAGAAAATCCAGTTCCTAACTCTTTTATGAGCCCTCTTCTTTCTTTTATGGTCCTGCCTAACTCCCAAGCTCAGTTCTTCTTGTTAATATCAGACTAATCTTCAAAAAATGTGTGACCACCATCTACTTCCAAGCCATCTCCTGAGGTTCTCTTCAGATGCCTCCTACATCAGCAGGATCCCAGGACATTTCCTTTACCTTCTACCTGGGAATTTCTTAGACTAGAATCCTTCATTCCCAGTTTGCTCAATGTGGAGAATCCTTCTGTTCAGATTCCTGGTTGCTTGGTTCTTGGCAACATATGTCTGCCATCATGCATTTTTTTTTTTTTTTACTTCCGTTTGGTCCCTTTTTAGTTTTGGAGCACTTTACAACTTTTCTTTTCTTGCTTCCAGTGCTAGGGATTGAACTCAGGGCTTTGAGAAGCATTCTACCACTTGAGCCACTTCTTCAGCACTTTCATTCTTGTATTTAGTTTTTGAGACAGTTTTCCCAACTTTGTCCGAG